AATCAAAGTACATTCTTGATTTGTTTGAAAGTACAAAAACAGTATTGATAAGCCATCAACTGTGCCTGAAATATTTTCTACATTATTTTTGTTTATCAGTTATATCAACAAGATTAATTTCATAGAGACCTATAGTATGCAGATTCTATTGCTAGTATACAGATTCTTCAATCAACAGTTTCTATTGTGTAAATGTGCTAAAATAGAATTTCCCTGAGATGAACTATCTTGCTGGCCCACAGAAATCACTAATCTGAATTTTAGTCTAATCTGATAGCCATCCAAAATGAGTGTTAATAGTTTTTTAATTATCAGTCTATTTTTGCTAATGTTTCTTTTCAGTGGACTATGTTATAAATTTATTATTAAACTAACGTAACCTGGGAACTTGTTTAAAATGAAACTTCCCAGAAATATACAAAAACATACTTTAGAAATAACTTTCTACCTAATCTCTTCAAGTGCAAAAATCAAGAATCTCTTCTATGCTTTTAAGGTGTACTAACATTTAGTTACTTCAAAGCTAAAGAAACTGCATTGAAAAAATAAAAACCTCCCCAAACACCCACGATGCTCATGTCTAAAGGGTTTTACACTTCTAAATATCAATCAACCATTAATTAGTTTAAAAGATTCTCTTCTTTTCGTTCTTTCTTCCTTCCTTCCTTCCTTTCTTCCTCCCTCCCGCCTTCCTTTCTCTCTATCTCTGTTTCTTCCTTTCATGTAACCAGGTGGCATCTCACTCATGTATTTTTAATTAGGAAGCCATTCACATTTTAAAAGCTTCTCACTGACTGGTCTGAGAAATGCTGTGGAGATAATCTTCAGACTTCATTACAAAATTGGTCCACTCCTGACAAATATCCTCCATGGAGAATTCTTCACCACCATATTCCAGAGGAAGAATGTCTGGAAAATGCTGAAGTAAGCTTTGTTTGTAATTGGTCCCATGCATGTGAATCTGAAATAGCCAAAACGTTTTAGAAGGTATCTCCTCCATCTATCAACATAGTAGATGCATTTCAATGGAAAATCAACACCGTAAGAGAAGGAGCTCTAACAAATTGGAAGATAGGAGGGCATGTATAGATACCACATCCTTTCTTCTTCTGCTTATGAATCTAACAAGTTTACTTATGTTTAGATTGCACTGCTTATAAATCT